GAGTGAGGGCACTAGTCAGCTTTTCGATACGTATTCTTGCCATGTCATTACTTTGAGTGACCTTGGCAAGGTCGGAGTTAGCTTCCTTAAGCTGCTTCAAAACCTCTTCCAAACGAGTGGCCTTCTCCTGATGCAGCGCCTCCTGCTCCTTCCATTTCCTCTCGTAGAACTCAGCCTTCGGCCTCAGCTGATCAACATTATTTTGCAGGCCATTTAGCTTAGACTCATATTCTTGGACCAGATGCCTCAGAATCTCCTCAACATGTCTAACTCTTTCCTCCAGCTCTGCAACATGAGCTCTGGCTTCATCGCGCTCCCTGGAGGCTAAGGACGACTCTCCATTTTCCTTTAGCCACATGGCAAAGTGAAGGCAGGCCTGAAATAATCAACATAGTAGCAAAACTAAATTATTCAGAGCAACACAGAAATGGGAAGGCAATGAAATCTTGAGGGCAATCACTTACACCAAGGGCATGGTGGGCCAAGTTTTGCCTCAAACCACCGTCATCATACCCCTGCATAATCCTGGTATCATCAGGGCCAAGTAAGCCCAGCAAAACTCTCTCCGCAGCAGCTGGCTTTCTCAACATACTGATAATCTCAGGGGAAGCCCTCGTACGAGTTGCATTCTAACAGATTTTGGCATTTACACCTCTTAGTAGTTATTTTATAAATTGGTACATTGTGATTTGATCATATCTGAGTATTTCACACAAAGTAAACTAGCCACAGAAAGCAAGTTGGTTCTTCCAAATAAGGAGTTTTAGATTTCTTTCTTCAGTTTTGTTTTAATTAATTCGGTTGAACTAACTAGGCATAGCAAAGAATAGAGCAGGAACATGCTGCTCTCTAACCTACCATATCAAGGAACTAGGAACTAAGCACCACAGTACAGGAACAAGAGCAGTTACTTTCAGAACCAACCATGACTAAGAAACAAAAAGGTATTCTTTTTTAATTTTAGCCAAAGCACCAGAAGATGAATCATATCAAAAAATTTCGTCATCAAGGTTTTTAAGTTATTTTCGTATAAGTGCTCTAAAAAATTAGTTATACAACTACAAATCTTGAACTGTTTTGGGAAAAAAATCAGGATGGGAGTTATCATCCTACAGATGATTTTCTTTAACTTTAGGAACCCTCACAAGTGTCTTTAACAAGTAGAGAAAACCTATAAAGAAAAAAGTGGTCCATACGATGCATGTGATACAACTGATTGGTAATCCATTCTTACCCCCTCCGGCAGACTTACATCATTTGAAGGCATTGGATGCACACTATCTGGTTTTGTTTGGGTAGAATTTTGAGGAGCAGTTCCCTTGTCACAAAACCTTGGCAATGGTGCTAGAACAGAACTTCTCTCTGCAAAGACCAACAATTTGGTGAATCTACTTAAGAATAAAAAAGAACCTATTTAATCAGATTTTTATTCACCAAAATTAAAAAAAAAATTCTCAACTTGCTGACATGTGAGTTATACAGCAGAAAACTCCTATGAATAAGCATGCTAACACTAAGTTACACAGCTTAAAGCATAAACAAGAACCTAGTGTATCAAGCATCATAAAACTACTGTCAGTGATTAAGAACCTATTGAGAGGTCATTTATACAGCTTAAGATTAGTATGACTAGGCCCAAACGTATTCATATGTGATATAGCACATTTCAGCAACTTTTACCAGCGCGTAGTCTCAAGCATTTGCTTCTTCTTATGCTCACCATGGCTGATTCCATATTATGGATGTAGAGAGCTCATTTGATGACCTTCCTCATGAATTACGTTATTCCTTGGTTAAACAAGCAGACGAATTATACTGATGCAAACATATATAGATTTGAGTTTCAAGTGGGAACAAGTCATTGAAGGATTATACAGGTTTGCAGAACAATTTAAGTACTCTAATCTACAAACACTAGACATATAAATTTGAATGAGGAACAGAATGCAAGTAGCTATAGAAAGAGCATTAAAGGACAATGAATTTCGGAGGAACATATTGTGTTTACCATTCAGAAACTAAGTTCATAAGTATTATTCTAAAGGTTATAGGCTCGTCAGATGAAACTAGTATTTATAGTGAGCAGGAAAAAAAAGCTACCAACTAGCTACATTATCTAAAAGTGCATTTCAACTTCACTTGGTCACCCCAAAAGTAATCTAAAAAGAAATCTACAAGGAACTGGAAATTGAAATATGTATAGTTGTGAGAAGCTAGGATGCAAATACATGTAGCTAAGTGACTCAGAACTTTAACAAAAGCAGAAAGACATTATTTAAAAATAAGGAAAAAAAATTAACAGTAACTTCCCCAGATAGTTACTTGAAACCCTTTTGTGCCTTTGATTAAAGTGACTAGAGAAACAATGCTTTTGATGGTTATACAATCTAAAACTGGTCCCAAATGGAATGGCTGTAACAAGAAATTGGATATAAGCAAACCAAAATCAACCCATCATGTAAAAATGAGAATAAAATTGAAAGGATCCTTTTTTTATATAAAAAAAGCACCTGTAAAGTTAAAAAAAATTCCTAATGTCTCACCTTTGAAAGCTAGGTCAACCCCACCTACCCACCACAGCCAAAATATAAAACAAGACTCTCACAAATGGCAGATTCAATGCAGAAATGTAGAGCCCTTTTGTGCCTTGGAGCTCATAAACCCAAAAATGCCCATCACCAGAAACTCAGTAAACAAGCTAAGAGTGGTCCCCATCCATCAAGCAAATGACTTTAAAAAAAGAAAAGCCATTGGAAAGAGAAAGTCATTTCCTTTGTACCTGAGGAGGCTGGGGAAGGTGGAGGTCGGTTGTAGAAGGCGTAGAGGACGCGGCGAGTCAGAGTGACTCACTGTCACTGAGTTGGTGGAAGTAAAACCCTGGAAAAGGGCAAATGCGCTTGAGGTGAGGAAAACAAATAGAAGATTATATATTTTGTCTCACGCATGAACCTGCCACGCCAAAAACAACATAAACTGCCACGACGGTGCGGTTTAAGAGACTAAAATATTTTGGGACGGAATCTGACGGGTGAGATTAAACGTGTGTGGAAGTTTTTGCGGTGGGATTGAATTCATAAGTCATTTTCTTACTTCTTGTTCTATATTGTTGATCGATTACTTAATTACTTAATATCACTTATTTCTTTCCTATTTAATTCATTTAATGTTATTGATTACTTTAATATTCATTATAAGTACTTACATTACTCAATATCCCTTCAAATTGTTACTTCATTACTTAAATTTCTATAATCATTTTCTTTACTTTCTATTTAATTTTTCATTGGATAACTTTATTTATCTTCTTAGTAATTTTTAATCTTCACTATTATTTTTTAAGCATGGTAAAGTGCCTAATTTTCATGACAAATTAAGTTGGTTTACATCTTTAATTATTTTTCAATTTTTGATAAATAATAAATATAAGAACATGTAATATGTCCAGTGAATAACGTGAAATGAGATTACTTATCTATTTTATCATGCAATTTATAAAGTGTAAAATATTGTAGTAAAAAAAGATAAATAATTTACTAGGGACTGTTTAATTTTCTTTTATTAATTACTCTAGATTTTCTAAGTCACAGAGTTTATCAACTCATAATATAATCAACTTAAATCATTCAAATCCGCTACACAATGCATTTCATTCTAATTTTTTATGTCAAAATAATAAATGATTGACTAAATAAATTTCTTCTAAAGTTTCATTAAAAAATTTCATGTATTTATTACAATTTTATAATTTTTATCAATATTAATATTTTTCTGATTCCATTAATATTTCCATATTTTTAAATTATTGATATTTTCGAAACCCTCGTTATTCAAGACCTTGGTTGTAGCCAAGCGGAATCTGCTTTTATATACACGAGGAAAGAGCAACGATGGGATTGATGAAGGCCGCAGAGTGAGATTTGGTGATGAAGTGGATGATGCGGAGCGACATACACTTGTGGGGCCGGCCAGAGCAGCTCAGCTTCGTGTTCAACAATGAGGTCTGATGTGTTAGCCGATCATTGCTTCTACTAATTCATCAATTACAGAGAGCAACTTTTCAGTCTTAAGCATTTTATATAGTTATCCACTTGTCGTCATATTCTTGTCATCTTATAGTTATCCACTTGTCACCTAATTGATCAATACAGCTTATTAAATTCCACTTGTCATCTTACACCTCATCTTACATCAAAGCCCCAAAGTCGAGGTCATCATCAATTACCAACACAATGGCCCAACACCTCACCTTGTATCCATGCTACTCCCATATTTGTAAATGGAGTAGTGCATTGATTTGGCTAGTTTCGAATCGAAAACATTACTTTTCTTTTTCTCATGGATTGTGGTCGTTAGTGTAAGTGTAACCAACAAATTTTTAATGCCTAAATCTTAGATGAGGGATGTGCATGTCCTGCGTAATCCTGGTATCATCAGGGCCAAGCCCAGCAAAACACTCTGTGCAGCAGTTGGCTCTCTCAAGCTCAACATACTGAATCTCAGGGGAAGCCCTTGTACGATTCTCATCCAAAGCACCGGAAGACGCATCATATCACAAGTTTTCCTCATTTTCGTATAAGTGCTCTAAAAAAATAGTTATATAACTACAAATCTTGAACTGTTTCCGGACAAAACTGTTGACATGAGTCTCCTAATTAATCAAGGATATTTACTTCCTTGATTAATTAAGGATTTACTTTCCTATTTTTTATATAAGTGATAAATCATTGTACAATTAAGAGATACTTTCATAATTCTTTACTATATCTAATTCCTTGTAAGACCCTCATGTAAACTCTTATATATCTCCTTATGAAGAAGAATAAAACTCAACCTAATACATTCAAACCATATTCATATTTTCGCAAAAATCAGGATGGGAGTTATCATCCTACAGATAATTTTCTTTAACTTTAGGAGCCCTGACAAATGTCTTTCACAAGGAGACAGAACCTCTAAAGAAAAGAGTGGTCCATCTGATGCATGTGAAACAATAACATGGACTGATTGGTAATCCATTCTTTCCCCCTCCGGCAGATTCACATCATTTGAGGGCATTGAATGTAACACTATCTGTTTTTGTTTGGGTAGAATTTTGAGGAGCAGTTCCGTTGTCACAAAGCCTTGGCATTGGAGCTAGCACAGAACTTCTCTCTGCAAAGACTTACAATTTGGTGAATATACTTGAGAATAAAAAAGAACCTATTCAATCATATTCTTATTCACCAAAATTGAAAATTTATCTCAACTCACCGACTGGTGAGTTACACAGCAGAAAACTCTTATGAATAAGCATGCTAAACATCAAGTTACATGGCCTAAATCATAAACAACAACCTAGTGTATTAAGCATCAGAAAACTCATGTCACTGATTAAGAATCATTGAGAGGTGATTTATACAGCTTAAAACTAATTGGTGCCAACATGCGGGAAGTGAATATAAGTACTTAAATATCCACAAACAAGATTGAAATATATCTAAACTTGAAAATTTAAAGGTGACATTTTTGTGTTGAAAGAGATTTGATGTAAATCATTGATATATATTTGATAATACCGTAGTTGATTAGTGTAATAAAAAAGGGCTGCTAGTTGACCATACAAAAAGGGTTTTTGGTAGGAGAGGGTTACCGTTAGTTAGATAGGCCAAGAAAACAAAATGTTCACAAAATATGTATTTTCTTAACAACACCCCTTTTCTTCATCCTGCATTGCATCGACGGATCCCTCTCCATCCATCCCGTCCGGGTCTTCAGCTTCCTCCGGGGTCTTTTAAGGAGACCACTCCAAGATATGGGGGCTTGCCGCCACTAGCAGTTCCTTGACTTTCAGTATCAACATGTTGCTGGTGAGAAGAGTTACTGGATGACTCAACAAGTGCGGATGGTGACATGATGTAGACTTCTTTAGACACAAAGGTGGTTTGACATTGTTGGCAGCGGAGAAGACGATCTACATAAACCCTACTATACAGAAAATGAACATTGCATCTATAGCACCTTGTCCAGAAAGTCGAAGGATGCTGGGCCCCCACTTCTCCATCAACGTCTTT